CTTTCCACAAGAATCCAATATGCAAATTCACTTTAAAAAAAAAAAAAATCAAAAACAAAATATTGAAAAACTAGAAACATGAAAATAAAAACTGCTTACTTATGATCAGTCGTTTGGTTGTACTCGTTCCATCAACAAGAAAATACGACTTCATTTTCATTGACGTAAAATTTTCCAACATTTTCTAACAAAACTTCCGCATGTACGACGAGACTGAACTAACTTCTATCAAAAAATCCTTTCAAATATTCTCTGTAAGGTCACAGCTGAAGGTCGCTACATTTCCAACAACCGAGACAAACTCGACAAGACAACTATTTAACCCACGAAAATCAATTCTAAACCTTTTGTTTGTTTATTTTTTTTTAAAAACATCTTTTCTAGGCTATACAGCCATTTTTAGTTTTTCATTGAGAAAGGTGTGAAAGAACCTAGAATGAAGTCTCTCATGTTGCCCTGTCGGATAATCAAAGACAAATGTCCGTATTTTTTAATATGGAAGAATTTAAAACCAATATGGGATAATATTTGTCAGTAAACTGTTTCGCTATCCAATCGTGTGTTTACTTTACGAGTGAAAACAAGCGAGAGTGATCGGAATACAAACAGGACAGTTTATATTGACACAGACAATTAATCGCACATTTCATACAACATTTTTATTTTTATATCCATCAAATATTACAAATATTTAGTTGGAGAGAGAGAGAGAGAGAGAGAGAGAGACCTATTCAACACAAGCTAGGTTTAATTTTATTTCTATAATTCACAGGAGTACAGTGGAAGGAAACCAGAGGACCCGGAGAAAACCCATGAGGTTGGACAGGCAACCCTACTCCTTGTCACATACAAGCGGGGAACCGAAACCACGCCAGTTGACTCAATGACAGACCTTATGAATTAAAATTTAAAGATACATTATGTAAGATTTAGATACAGAACTAGCTGTTCTTGCTAGAATAGTTCAAAAATAGATAATGAAAAATTAATATATTGAAAATTTAATTCAAATTTCTTTATTCAGGGTGGAGAATATTTGTTTTTAATTTTTTGTTCAATTTGAGGAATGCCAATCTATTTTTTTTTTGTCCTAATTATTTTAATTTCAAACTGGTTTAAAATTTTCAAGACTTAAAACAAAATACCACACGTTCTCAAGTTGTAACGGAGAGCTTACAACATTTAACAAGCTTTGTTGTTTAAAGGTGCAGTCGTTGCGATACTGACACGTCCCACTGCATTCCAAATCTACAATCATACTCTATAAAAATGCATTATGTAAGAGCTAAATCTGTCTATTGCAGGTCTTTGTTTTGGTTTTAAATGTTATATAAATTATTATTCAGACATTTATTAACACGACAAGCCTATAATCAACTCTATAGATCACAATGGCAGAGATTTAAACGGATTGAAACACTATCACTATTTAATGATTTAATTTAAAAATTGTGAATCAAGGCTTTGTCTTGATTAAGTACTGATGCTACGATAATAAACAATCAATATCACTTCTTGTCAAAACTTCAAACAGTGATAATTTCACTCAGAATAAATGAATTTTAATGAAAATTTAAATATATTCATTTTGCAGTACATCAATTTTTGAACTCTTAATTTTAAAGTAAGAATGGCCAGTTCTTTATCTAAATTTTACATAATGTACCTTTAAACACTGCCTGGGTTGGCAGACGACTTGTTCAACATAAATGACTTTGAGTTTTAATCCTTCGAGTCCAACACACGAAGGAATTCTATGATAATCCAAACCAAACAAATGACAAGCTTCTACAGAGATGGTTTGTTTAAAATACGACCCCCGTGACCCCCAAATACAAACAATTAAACTTGGCTTCAGTCAATCTTAAATTTTAACTTGAGCAGGGAAAATTGTGTTGGGTGTGGAGTGTCATCCATTGTGCTTGGTTCCAGATTTGGATGCATTTGGTATAGATGGGGGCTCTAATTTAGCCCAGCATCGCAGCTTGATGATAAATAGGTGGGGGGGAGGGAGAGAGAGAGAGAGATGGTCATTTCAGGACTAACATACGGTTCAGTTTTATTTCAAAAATTGACTCAGTGACAGACCTTATGATACAACACACACCCACTAACCATTTGACCTTCCAACACCCCCATACAGATAAGTTTAAAATGAAAAATCTATAAAATGAATTGGCAGAGTTTTGTTTTGAAACGACGATGGATCCTGTGAGGTAAATGTTTAAAACAATATAAATAAACTTGTAACATTACAAACAAGACATATGTACCATCCAACATTCTATAGGAATCTTTGTAGTTATAATCAATTGTATTGTTCTTGTACATAATGTATGTTATCTTATAACACATAGCAACACTTGTTCTATTGCTCTTATAACACATAGCAACACTTGTTCTATTGCTCTACACCTCCAGTTTTAATTTCTCTTCTCAAATATACAGAAAAGAAATCAAAGGAGATTTAAACATTCTCCTTTCTGTGGCAATCAAGCCAATGAAGACAGAACATATGTAATGCAGTATGCTATAAGAGAAATTTGCAAGGATAACATAAAGTATATTTGCTGTTTAAATAGTCACTGCACATGTTGGTTGTGCTAGCTATGTTTTATATAATGTAACGATACCACAGAGCATGTTTGTTGTGTGTGTTCTATGCTAGATGTTTTATATAAAATGTAATGACACCACTGAGCATGTAGGTTGTGGTTTTTTTTTATGTTAGCTATTGCTAGCTATGTTTTATATAAAGTTTAACGACACCAGAGCATGTTTTGTTGTGTGCAGGGGTTTCATTAAATATTACTGTAGGTGGGTAAAGTATCAGAGTAGGCGGCTAATTTTTTGAGAGTCGAAGGCTCGAAAAGAGCGCTGGAGGCGATCGAATTGAGCGCCGAAGGCGCGAAATAACCTAGGGGGTTCCGGGGCATGCCTCCCTGAGAAATTTTGCCACGCAATATATATGATGCAATTTGGTTGATTTTACACCACTTTCATCAATTTATATAAGGGCCAAATATGGGCATCTCTGTATTTCTATCAGAACCTATAATATCGGGTAAATAGTTTTTGAATGTAAAAGTTAGCACACACGGTAATTAACTAGTGAACAGGTTTGAAAACTCAGTTTGGTGCAGTCGCGGAAAATGGGTCGATCTAACCGTTAACTCAACGATCCCTTTATCAATCTCTTTTGTAATGTATATATAGATATCTGGTACATTAATACATCGTGGGCTATTAAACTTCGTTTTTCAGTCATTATTATTATTATTGGGTGTAGGGTCGGTAGTTACTACGTATTTTATTCCATGTCAGTTTATATAATCTCGTCATGGATTGTATTGTGAATTATGAATTCCAGGTAGGCCTAGATATTAAAATTTTAATTGGATCATACATTTTTGATGGTTTCACAAACCATGAGTTGTTAGTTAAATTTAAATCTTCATTGAATAGAATCCACTGATAAAACACCGAATACGCCGAGAAACAGTCATTAATAATATATTTTTTCGAAAGAATCGCCATTACCGATGACCGTGACATCGTTGCAATTAGGTCAATGAATCAGCGATGTTGTAAGCTTAAGTTTTAAATATTGTTTAACGTTATGATTTTTTACTTTATAATACACATGCTGACAGAAGCTTTATTTTATAAATGTTGTCGTTATTATTGCAGGCTATCATCGTCGAATGAATAAAAACTAAAAGGTGAGAGACAGAAATTAAACGATTACGCAGAGACGTATATTAAGTATTACCGACGTAAACACGTCTTTCCTCCGCTGGTGCACTACTCACTGTAACTACGAAAGATATGGCGATATTTCTTTTGCATTTGATACATACATGTATGTATCACCACCCCCGTCTGCTTTGGCGCCATTTTGTGAAGATCATGCAGCCATTGAGCAGCGATCTTCAAGACAGAAGAAACCGCCATACCCAAGTTACTATAAATAGCACCACTTTTCGACACCCATGGTCAGCACAGGATTTTTGACACGAGGTATCAATGGAAAGATAAAGTAGCAGTTAATTTTGTTGACGTTTATGATTTTCCGTTATCATTGTTCACCGGTCCCATGGACCAACGGTAAGATAAAATACCAGTTATCGGAAACTCTGAAATGCGTGAAAACTAGCCGGTATAAATGACAGTTTTCGAAAGAAAGTATGTAAAATATTAAGGTATAAAGAGATAAGCCTCGTAACTTTTTATATTGAGTATAAATGTAATTGATGGTTAAGAAATTTCGAGTAGAGTGGGTGAAAAAAGGGAAGGCTCGATATTAAAGTACACCGTTAACTCTTTTTGAAAGGAGATACAGAATACCGCCTGTTTCTTGATTATCACGTTGTACTTTAAAACTCGATAACCGTGACGCTGTTTATTGTTGGGCGTGCAGTTTGTAAACTCGCCGGCTACCCGTTCTATATTACGTAGCAAAACTCTGTAAACCATTACATTTATACTTAAAGAAGTACTCCATTTTACAAACTTTTCATGACATAATAAATTCTCAGATGGAATCAAAATATAGCTGGCGCAACGAGCCAAATGGCCGGGGAAATTCGCCGGCAGCCGGCTGTTAATGAAACCCCTGTGTGTGTGTGTTCTATGTTAGCTATGATTTATATAATATGTAATGACACCATTGATCATGTTGGCTGTGTTTGTTCTATGCTAGCTATGTTTATATAATATGTAATGACATCATTGAGCATTTGGCTGTGTTTGTTCTATGCTAGCTATGTTTATATAATATGTAATGACATCATTGAGCATTTGGCTGTGTTTGTTCTATGCTAGCTGTGTTTTATGTAAAATGTAATGACACCAAAGAGCATGTTGGAGTAAATGTTATGACATCATTAAACATGTTGGAGTTTAGGAGCTTTATAAATGTATTATTCTATTACATATCATTACATTTGTGTACTTGTGAAATTTCTTCGAATATGATTAAATTTAATAAAGATTCTAACCTGTGCCATGTCGTTCTGTTCTGCGTTGTTGTTGACCCGGATAGTTGACGGATGTGCGTTTAGAAGGAAGGGGCATAACTGGCACCTTCTTATTATGCATTGCTAATGCTTGCATCACTGCTTCAGTTCGTATTTCTGTAGTAAAACAAAAACAAATATAAAACTCTGATTAATCTGGCTATCAATATAATTACAAATCCTGTTTTTTTTATAATAACATAAACATATATTATATAAATCTCGGATCAGAAAACAAGTCAGTGCTTATATAAATTGATCTCCTACTTTATATATAATTGCATGACTTGTGTCAATTCTAGATTTCATTACGTTTCAATCCTGTGTCCAGTTCCCTTAAAAATCTCAAGTCTATAACCTCAAATCAAAATGATAGGTTGTCAGGCAATGAAACATATGGCCACAACACCTAAATCTTTTGATTGTCACATATTTTTTCTTTTGTCCGTAATAAAAGAATTTGTAAGACCTTAAAATCTGATTAAGAGTAACATCTCATTATGAATTTATCAGAAATCATTAGAATTGTTTTGGCTTTTATTTTACCAAACATGTAACATGATCAATTTGAATATTAAACTTATAGGAAATGGTTGAAAATCACAATACTTATTTGTCTCATGAACATGAACACTTTGTATAAATTTAACGTCAATCCGATAATAACTTTAGCAACTAGAGCATCCACAAGCAGTTGTGGACAACAATATGCAACCATATTTCACTGTACCGGTACATGTAGTAAAGAAATACAATCAACACAAACTCAGATTTTTTATATGACCTACTCTTATTTCTTTTTCAAAACGTCAGCAGATCTTTATTGCACTGCAAATGGAAAACATGGTACCTTGGGTTTTTTTTCACCCCCCATCTGAATGAATTAAATAATATACTTCATTTTTTCATTACAAGGGAGACAACTCCATTATAAGGAGTATAAATTTTTCCCTGCTGCTAATCCAGAAAGCATACAACATCTAGTCTGGCAGCGAGGATCGAACATTTGAATGATATATCACAGATTTAGCTTTTTGTACAAAAGCTAAAATACATATTCGGGTGTACCCTCTATTTAGGGCTGACATATTATTTTATATCACATTTGAATAATGCACTGACACTTACGGGTGTCTTTAGCACTGAGAGGAAATCAGACAACCAGATTTGTGGTCAAAATGCGATACCATAACTATCTCCATTTCGTTTCTAGGATACAGGGGGAGCGACAGTGGGTCAGTGAGTAAGACGTTGGTTCCCTAGCCTGGAGGTCCCATGTTTGATCCCGGTGTTGGTCAAGAAAGTTCATCTGGATTCCAGCGTGGGTCCATCTTGTCAGTGGGGCAGGAGTAAGGGCTGGTAAGGGACAACACATAGCTGTTGGAATGGGACAAAAAACCAAGGTACCATGGACGCTTTGGCATGTACATCAAAGAACATTTGACAGTTGGAATTTGATAAGAGTAGGCCGTAGCACCGCTGTTCGGTCAAAATTTCCCGCATAGAACACTGTATGGTGCATGCCCACTTGATTCTATTGGAGCAGAATAGTAGGATGTTAAAACCCCATTTCATTTCATTTCTAGTATACAGGTACAGGTACAGGTACCCTTACAGACCAGGATATTTCTAGTATACAGGTACAGGTACAGGTACCCTTACAGACCAGGATATTTCTAGTATACAGGTACAGGTACCCTTACAGACCAGGATATTTTTTAAAATTGCTAAAAAAAAAATCGCCTTTGTGACTCTTCACGACGACGATGATACTGCTAGGTGAACCATTCGCCCGATCAATCTCTGGTATCTAGCATGTTAGTTATTTCTGGCCATATGTTTTTCGCCGGCGATCAAATTCACTTTCGGCCCATATCCAACATATATGTAGGGTTAATCATTTTTATAAGCCAATCAGAGACAACATTGATATCACATGATCTCAAAATGTCTGCCCCCCACACCCTTACTGCCGAAGCATGGAATCAACCTCCTGTACCACAATTTCCGCTTTATCCAACAAGCCTTTCTAGGTATTCTGCTTTTTATTGTTAGCAAATAAATAGCAAACTACTACAGCAATCTTGCAATATTGGCAATTCACCATTTAGAACAAGTCACATGATCAACGTAATCTACTTGCAGAATGGCATACACTCTCGAGACGATCGATACGTGTGCTCATTCATGACCGGTCATAAAAAATCGCTGCCAAATTCTAATCAGCGCGATCAGGCGAAAAAATGGGCTCATCTGCCCTCAGCAATAGAGTGTAACAGTTGTTTGTTTTTTCAAACGCAAAATATCTTATTCTATGGCACAAAAACTCGACGCATAATTCAGGTCTCGAAGCTGCAACTGTTTGGTCACAAATCCTACACTCTACCACTGCATTAAATCATACCCAAATCTCTCCCGTACAAACGTTTAAAACTCAACAGATACATTTACAGCATACTCTGTAGACCACTTGGCCATGCAACAACAACAATAGACACTAGTAAATGATAACTCTACTCATAAATCCGACTCCCTAACCTTGGCACCAAATCCCTTCCTTGTCATGTACTCATTTAAAACTTTAAACTCAATAGCTGAATCTATGGCATACCTCAACTTGTTACACTACTTGGCCACCCAACAACCAACAACTGATATCAGTCACTTGGCCACCCAACAACGTATTGGCCACCATACCACTAATATTGGTTGTTTACGCAATACTCTTTAGACCACTTGATCACCCAACAACCAATGCCTCCGAACAACCAATACCTGATACCTGATGCCACCCAACAACTGATACCTGATGCCACCCAACAACCAACAACCAACACCTGATGCCACCCAACAACCAATAAATGATAACTGTACTTTACCTGAATGATATCTATTGTCTTCCCGTGTCAGACGACGCTGTGCCCGTCTGTGTGCTGCTGTCGATGGACTTGGAGCACTTGGTCCAGCACCTAATACATACAGAGAGAAATTATTATAAAGAAAGAGAAAGAGATAGGGATTTAACGTCCTCTCGACACAAAACAGGTCATTTCGGGAGGACCTAGAGAAAACCCACAATGTTGAATAGGCGATCCTACTCCTTGTCATGTACAAGCAGAGAATTAAAAACACACCACTTGCCTCAATGACAGAACTTGTGATTTCACGAGCATGTGTTCAAACACTAGGCCCCCCCCCACCCGACAATTACTATAAGATGAAATGGGGTTGAACATTCTACCTTTCGGCCTACTTTTATACCGAATTGAAACTGTGGGGTTTTTTTACGCACACACCAATGAGCACACGGGACCTTGGTTTTTCATACCGGCAGAAGGACGAGAGAGTTGTCCTTGTCAGGCCCCCCTTTAGGCACCAAATGAAATTTGTTGTCCAACACTGGGTATGAGATGACATTTCTCAGTGAAATAAAATGAAATGGGGTTTAACTGGTGTAATGAAGACAGCCATATGTCATGCAGTGTGTTTTGAGGACAATTTGGCCAAGGCAGCGGCACTACAGCCTACTAGCTTTAACTCTGTACATCTTATCAAGCATTTCACGTAATACACTGCATATTTTGCCATTAATTTCGATTGGCTACTGACTCGATAGAAAATATCATCGTTAATACCAAGTCTCCTGTTTTCCAGCTAAAATGTATACCTGTGATAATTGAGTTGCAAAGTTCGAGGTTCGTTGAATGTCAAGGTCTCCCTGGAGATCGAAATGTTTAATTTGAGTGTATTATTTGTGTCAGGACCTCTGATTGGACAACGCTATTGTTCACATGTCTGTCGTAAAGGGGGATAACTTTGCGGGAATGTCAGACCAATGTAGCAACGGCTATATGTTGTAAAACTTGCAGTCATTGCTTCAGGAACATGACATGTATATTGATTCCAGCGCCTTGACATGCCAAAACCAGCCTTAAAAATCGTGAGGAACTTTCACCGAGTTGCGTGTTAAATCAAATGAAATATTCTGTTGATTTTTGATAATCCTAGATTTAAAGGCGCATTAGGTAAGATTAGATAAAGAGCTGACAGTTCTCATTAAAATAGTTTAAAAAAATACATAATGAAAACAAAATATGCTGAAAATTTTAATCAAATTGCTTTTCTCTGAATCAAGACATTACCATTACAATCAGGTTAAACCATAGATCCTATTTCGTTTCATTTTTTTTAGTTCAAAATTTCGTTTTACTTGTCTTTACTACACTTGGATCTGGAATAGTTGTTATATAACCCGCGTTCTGAATGGCATGAGGGATTAGCCAATGAAACCATCTGTTAAGGCGAATTCTTGCCATGGGATGCACGGAACTGTGGGTAAACCACTAGAAACGTCAACGCTGATTGATTAATCAATGTCTGACGTCATAGGGTCAAAAGCCGCACATACGACCTTCAAGTACATCTGGTCAGTTCTTTATGTAGTAGAGGCCATTGAAAGTATAAAAACATGAAACAAAATATAGATATGTATTTTAATCAGATATCAGCCATTAAAGATTTATTTCTTGAATAATCCATGTTTAAGTGGCATTGGATAAATCAGCAGGCTCTGATCATATGTAATCAAATTAATTCTATCCGGGGAAATAATATGGTTTGTTGAATATCTTGACAACATGTTAGACACTACTGATGTACCAGGATTTATTTTCTTTCCAAGACTTGTTTTAAACAGGTTAATAAAACAATGAAAGATAGGTTGCCAGGCAACGAAACATACGCCCACAGCAGCTAAATCGTCCGGGCAGTCAACAAGAGTTGTCACATATTTTTACTTTTTTCGGTAATGAAACATTTATAATACACTAAAATCTGATTAAGAGCAACAACTCAGAAAACCATTAGAATTTGTTTGGTTTTTATAAAGTTCTGCCCCATGCTAACGTTTTGTATACAAAACTTTTAATACTGTATCATGGATTTAGCTGTTCCAAGTCATAAAAATTCATTGAAAATCAATATACTTGTTCGTCTCAAGATCTTAAACTCTGTGTATCAATCTGAAGTCAATCGGATATTAACTTTGGCCTCAAGAGCGTCCGCAAGATTCTTCAAAGTGATCAAGGGCCATAACTTTGGCAGTAATTATCAGAAATCTTTGAAAATCAATAGGATCATTCGCCTCGTGACCTCAAACACTGTGTATAAATTTAAAGTCAATCAGATATTAACTTTAGCCTTTAGAGCATCCACAAGGTTTTTTGATGTGATCAAGGGCCATAACTCTGGCAGTAATTATCGAAAATCACCGAAAATGGATAGACTTCTTCGTCTCATGACCTTAAACACTGTGTATAAAATTTAAAGTCAATCGGATATTAACTTTAGACTCTAGAGTGTCCACAAGATTTTTCAAAATGATCAAGGGCCATAACTCTGGCAGTAATTATCGTAAATTGCTGAAAATCAATAGGATTCTTCGTCTCATGACCTTAAGCACTGTGTATAAATTTAAAGTCAATAGGATATAATAACTTTGGCCTCTAGAGAGTCCACAAGATTTTTTTGAAGTGATCAAGAGCCATAACTCTGGCAGTAATTATCAGAAATCGCTGAAAATCAATAGGCTTCGTCTTATGACCTTAAACACTGTGTATAAATTTAAAGTCAATCGGATATTAACTTTTGCTTGTGGACGCCGGACGGCCGGACGGACGGGGGCGACGACAATATACGACCACATTTCAATGTGGGCGTATACAAAGTGTGATTTGTGCCTGACAAAACGACAGGCACCAGTTGATGTCTCTTTAACAAAGTCTGGTTTATTTCCAATTGAAAGTTAAATTGAAATTGTTTTTAACAGTGATATTTTAGTGAGAGAGGGTTTAAAGTCAACACAAACTACGTCATTTCGTGACTCACATATGGATAAATTTCATTTCAATAAATCACTTGTGCGAAGGGGTCATTTGCAGTGGGAGGAAACCGGAGAACCCGGAGATAATACCCTCAGGGATGACCAAGCAACCCTACTCCTTGTCATGTACAAGCGGGGAATTGAAACCACACCACTTGACTTTTCGGTGGGATATTTAGTTTCGTCTAGTTGAGTGGGATACTGGGGAGTAGGATATATATCTACAGGTATTTATAACCTACCTTGAAGGTAAGGTTAGGGAGTAGGATACATGTACAGGTATCCTACATTGAAGGTAAGGTTAGAGTGTAGGATACATGTACAGGTGTATATAACCTACCTTGAAGGCAAGGTTAGATAGTAGGATACATTCACAGGTATCCTACCTTGAAGGTAAGGTTAGAGAATAGGATACATGTACAGGTGTATATAAACTACCTTGAAGGTAAGGTTAGGATACATGTACAGGTATCCTACCTTGAAGGTAAGGTTAGAGTGTAGGATATATCTACAGTTTTATATAACCTACCTTGAGCTGGCTGTTTATTATACGGAGCAAGAAGCCGAGTTCTTTTCTTTTCATATCCTTTCTGAGTGATGTCACCTGAAACATGACAAAAAATCATTTTATTATTCATTTCAATTTAAATATTTAAAATTTTCAATCCAAATCAAGCATCTTCCAGACATTTTCTACATTAACTCAAACTGATTATTTGACTTTTAATTAAGATAACAAAATCAAATATCAACAGTTGATAATTTGAATTAAATAGAGGCCACTTCACTAGCTGATATCAGAGTTACAATAATCTTACTATGGGTTGATTAAGATGTGATAGAAGAGCACAGTGGATTTCAGTAGATCAGTTGATGTCTATGTGTTAGATCAGAATGGCTATTAAGATGGCCCATGTCAGGGTTTATCAATGGACGAGAACAAAATCACAATGTCTTTAATGAAGATGGGGGGGGGGGGGGTCATTAGAAAACAATGCCAAACGCCAAATGAGGAAATGGGGTTTAACATCCACTCGACACAAACCAGGTCATTTCAATTTTTATCCATTAAAGAGCTGGAGCACAATGGATCTTTATCAATGGATGGAAACCCTAGGTTGGACAGATGACCCTACTCCTTGTCATGTACAAGGTGGGAATCAAAACCATGCAACTTGACTCAATGATAGACCTTGTGATCCAAAGCGTACATGTTAAACCTTCCAGAACAAAGAGAAGTTTATGGAATCAGTCCTGGGTTCAAAAATCAGTAACCCAAACGTTGAAGCTGGTGTACTCAGAACAATTTGAATAAATGTGATAATGAAAAGTTAGCATAAAGTATTTTGAATAAATGTGACAAAGTAAATTCAGCAATTCAGCATATTTTGAATAAATTTGACAAAGTAAAGTCAGCATAAAGTATTTTGAGTAAATTTGACGATTAAAGTCCGTGTGAAGCATGTTTGTTCATATTTTAACTATTAAAGCACCATTAATCACACGATATCATTACATCAGATCATGTTATATTTAATATATCATGCTAGTAAGTACATGAGACCATGTTATATTTAATAGACGTTGGTACAATATGGTGAATACAGAGTACATGTATATAGAGACTATTATAAAGTATCTTGATAAAAACATAAAACCTTACAACTTCCAGTATAATGACTATAATTTACAGGTTGTATTAAAGTTCACACTACAACCTACACTTCAATCAACACGATTCTTGTTTTTTATTATCGAAACTAGGTACATAATGCATTTACAAAAGAACAACAGGGTCATGGAATGTCCTGTAGTAACAAATTTATCAAGGGCTAATCTCTTCACTCAGAATAAAGTAATTTGAAGGTAATTTTCAATAAATTCATTTTGCATTATCTATTTCTGAACTATTATAGCAAGCATGGCAAGCTCTTTATCTAAATTTTACATAATGTATCTTTAATAATTGTATAAAAAAATAGGCCTGAATAAAATATCAGGCTGTATTAAACTAGTACATGTACATGGTACTTGACATTTTGGACATTGTGTTTGATGCCTGCATTAAAAATATGAATACACTAACACAGAAAAAAGACAAATATGTACCAGACATAATGGCAGACTGCAAGTGGTTTGCATCTGACAAAGTCTGACTTGTATTTGACAAAGTCTGAAATGGTGCCTGACAAAGTCTGAAATGGTGCCTGACAAAGTCAGAATTTGGTGCCTGACAAAAGTCTGAATTTAGTGCTGGACAAAGTCTTAATTGGTGTCTGACAATGTCTTAATTGGTGCCTGACAAAGTCAGAATTTGACGTCTGACAAAGTCTGTCTTGGTGCCAGACAAAGTCTGAATTTGTGTTTGAATTTTGCGCCTGACAAAGTCTGAATTTGTAACTAACAAAGTCTGATTTGTTGCCAGACAAAGTCTGTATTTGGTGTGTGAAGATGTCTGTGAAAGTTATAATATAAAACTGATTATTTTAAATACTGTATACTTACTGACTCACAAGTCGACTACAGATAAATCATTGGGTGTATGTGATAACTTATGATGATGTTAAAATCAAAGAGTTAAACCTGTAGTAAAACAGGTTGTGTATCTCAACCTACCAGTTCTATTTATCCACATTACAACATATCACGCTTTACTTTCTACCATATACTAGCTTTATAAAAATTCTTTTGAATCATTCTAGCCAAATAACGTCATTAATATTTTAAAAATTGTTAGCTAAGTCAAAGTGAACTTCTGAACAAACAAATTTAATACACCATCTTCAAACATTCAACCTGAGACAGTCTACACCATATTATTAACTAAATATTTTTGGTATTGTTTTCTAAATGTGAAATTAAATGAAATGAAATTGGGTTTAACGTCCTACTGTTCTGCTCCTAACCTGGGCTAATGAAGACGGGCATACGCCATACAGTGTGTTATGAGGGAAATTTTGCCCGGACAGCGGCACTACGGCCTACTCTTATATCGAATTCCAACTGCCAAGAGATCTTTTATGTGCATGCCAATGTATACACGGGACCTCAGTTTTTCATCCCATCCGAATGACTAGACAGTTGTCCTTGTCAGGCCCTCCGTCCTGCATCACTAACAAGGGGAAACCACATCGGAAATTCCTGATGAACTTTCTCGGCCAATGCAGAGATTGAACACCCGACCTCCAGGCTAGCGAGCGAGCGTCTTACCTACTTAGCCACCATGGCTCCCATTTTCTAAATGTATAAAATGTTATATACATACATATATATATATATATATAAATAATTAAAAATATGAAATCTGTAAGTTCTTTACTTAAAGTTTCATGTGGTACTCCACACTCATCAGAAGAAAAATCATATATATATATAATGTATCTATGTCCAATCACATTTAATCCACTGCTTGATAGATTAGAGAATCCTAGTTGAAACGTCGCTCAGTAATAAACAGTAGTTGAATTCTATTATGTCGTGTTTATTTCCACAATGTAATTATTCAACACACTCTACTAATTACATATCACTTAATTCATCTGTCATTATGACCCTCTCTATTATAAATCTTATATCATTCATATATTTTCTACCGGAATTATTTAATTTCCTTTTGGCAAAATATTTTTAATCCCATCCCATCAATTTCACTATACATGTAAATATGTCGTAATGTAAACCCATTGATAGTTTAAACTGGTCAAAAAATATCTCCTTTGTTATTGAAATGTAATTTCATGCTCAATTATTTTATGATTTGGGTGCAGTGACCACATCCTGAATAATTATTAGAATAACTTAAGGTTTGTCCAATTCACATGGAGACTAATTAAAAATAGCAATTAACTTTATTATTCATGTATTTATTATGAAGAAAGTAGACAACTACTTGAAATATTCAAATTTGTCATTATGTAAAAGGTAAATCTGCCTAATGCCGATCTTTATTTTGGCTTCAAATGTTATATAAATCAGTCGTTGTTGTTTGTATTTTAGAGGAGAGCCGAAAAAGGCTTCCCTTAATCAACAAATTGAAAAAATCCCTCCCCTAAAAAAGCTCTCCCAGTTTTGATAAGAAAAGTGATCTGATATCAAAGAGAGAGAGAGAGAAATGGGGTTTAACGTCCACTCGACACAAACTAGGTCATTTCGGGACGAACATATGGTTTAATTTTATTTACATAATTTGTTTGCGCGTAGGGGTCTTTAGCAGTGGGAGGAAACCGGAGGACCCGGAGAAAACCCACGAGGATGGACAGGCGTCCCTACTCTTTGCCACGTACAACCGGGGATTCGAAACCACGCCAGTCGACTCAATGACAGACTTTATGATACAGCGCGCGCACGCTAACCATTCAGCCATCCAACCCCCCGATCTGATATCAAGGAGAGTGATTAGTTGTGTGTATGAGAAATGGTTCTGAAGATTAATAACTGCATGTTAGGGGTCATTCCTGGTTTCATAAATGAAAATAAACCCCACATGACTTTGTAAAGGAGAGCGATTTTTAGTTTTAAGGAGAGGGAGAAAAAACTCCCCTCGGTCGACATTCAGGTGAGCAGCAGGCGCTTGAGAGTGTTCGCTCGCCTTTAAAAAAAAATGACTGTATAAATAGCCCAAAATCAACTCTTTGGACCATCGGATGACCGAGACTTAAATGGATTAAAAAACCTGTGAGATTGGAAAATGTAACGATAAAATGGATAATCGACGATCTATGCTACATTTTCAAACTGTCATAACTTCACCCAGAATAAATTAATTTGAATAAGATTTCCAATTCCTATTTCATTATCTATTTTTGAACTATTACAACAATAATAGTCCGCTGTTTATCTAAATCTTGCATAATACATCTTGACAGCTATTCCAACTGTATTTCTAGTACTTGTCATATGATATCGATTAAAACATGTAATTTTATCTGATATTTTGTTTCCTATGAAATATTTACTAATATTAATACAATGAAATCAACTTAAAAATACACAAACATACCAAAAAATATATTGATTTAATTAATAGTTTCTAGAAATCTCAATATGCATCAAAAATGACCGAATAAAAATTATAAATTTGATTAGAATTCAAATATTAGAATAGAATTCAAATACAGACTTAGAATATATGAATATAGCGTTCATGTGGATTAGATTTCCCAGCTGCTTGTGACAAGGAGTAGGGTCGTCTGTCCAACCTCATTGGTTTTCTCCAGGTCCTCCGGTTTCCTCCCACTGCTAAAGACCCCTATGCACAAGCAAATTATTGAAATAAAATTGAACCATATGTTAGTCCCAAAATGACCTAGTTTGTGTCGAGTGGACATTACACCCCGTTTCTCTCTCCCCCCATTTTTTAACACACATAATTAATGGTCTTGTATAATGTATGTTTAAGGGTGATTACATGTATTTAGCAGCAAATAAAAATTATTTAATACAATCAACATGGTTAGTGAGTCTAGCCTTCATCCCTGATAGATATTGTTAGTTTGAACCCAAAACAATATTGTCATAACAGACCTAATATCCACAAAATTAAAGCAGTCAGCTCTCCATCTGATTGTGGATCGAGGAGAGGTTTTTTTTATTATTGAGCTGAGC